CTTCGATTTTATCTCGAACGAGATAGAGTCGAATCAAATTCGCAAATTCTTTGATGCATTTGATACTTAGTTTTAAGTATTTCAGGATTAGCACTGCGCACTATCGCGATTTCGTCTTACAGCTAGAAATATTTAATATACTTAAATATAATGAATTAATGAAATGAAAGTATTGCAAGAAAATGTATTACATTTATTGCACTGTTTATTTCAATTCGATTTTATTACTCGACGTTAAAAGTGCGAAGTGTTATTAGGTCATCGAGGGAAATTATTATCTGCTTGGACATTCGTTTAAATGTGCTCGTGTATGGTCAATGAACTGTAAGTTCATTGATGGTCCACGAGCTAAAAAAGTGTTTGCGAAATGTAAATTAATTTTGTAATAATTGAGAATTAGAATCATAACAAATACGAGTTTATTTGCAAAATTAGTATGAGAGATCTTATCTTGCTCGCTCGTAGATAATGTCCAAATGCAGTTTTATGGAATGAAGAAAGAAGAGGCTTAATGCCGAAGAGGCCCCCACTTAATTGTGGCTCAAGAGGGCAACTACAGGCTACTGAATTATTTTCAAAAGTTCAACATCATGTTCGAACCTTTCGAGAATGGTTCTTTAGTCATATTTTATATTTTATTCTATTACTTTTTTGCTCGTCATTAATTTGTAGTTGTAATTGGAGATGATGGACCATTCCATCTCCTTGGGACACGAAGTTCGTGCCTAATCGTCAAAAAGATGCATACGTGTTTAGTTAGTTCGAGTCAAAAAATTTTAATTCTTTTGTTATTACATTTTGAAGCCTAATTATCATTTTTTGAATATTAAAGTAATCTCTCTTTTCTTTTTTTGTCTTTAAGATTTTTCATTTTGATCGTATTTTATTAAATTTGTAATTTTTTCTTTTATACATAATACAGTTTAAAAGTATTAGTCATAATAATTAATAGATATTTTTTTTTAGTAACTTAATATCTTTCCTTCCACTTTTTTTTTTATATATATATTTTTCTTTTGTAAATGTAAAATCACGCGTTTAAATTTAAAATTATTGCAATAGTAGATAGAGATTTGATAAATATAAGTAGAGAATTCAATTTAAAAGTGCATCTACGAATTGGACGATTCATATGTTAGGCCACTTTATATCACTTGATTGTATGATTAATATAGTTTTCTTCTTGTTACAGGTGATCATCGTTGGATATAACAACGAACCTTTGAGATTTTCTTCTATTTGAATGACTATATTTTAAAATATATGTATAAATTCATTTCTGAAGGTACACACATATTTATAGATTAAAAATTAAATATTATCATTCAAAATTGTATTATACAATATAACTATATATACTATCATATATTATCAAAGAATACTTCACTCTTTGATAGTATTGTACCGTCATCACTTTAAGTATATACTATTGCCCACTGGTGGTCCCGGTAGTAACTTAGATGAATCTGGTTAGATAGAGAATGAGACTTGCGAGCTCTATGTATTTCTACATTCTTTGGTAAGAGAGAAGAAAAGATTACCGATTGAACCGATTAAATTTGGTTCTTGTAGTTTTCCACATACTAATAAGGCGACGAGTGTGACATTATACTGTGCATTCTCAGTACTTACCAATATTCAGGTTCGTTCTCTACATAGAATTTATTGAATCAGATTTTTATAACAAGGAATTAGACTAAAAAACAGTAGAACTGATACAAAGAAAAATATATATTTAACTCTGTTGAATTACGTCATATCTGTATAGAAAAGAAAATGGCTTGTCCAGGAGGTACTAACGTCGGTTCTGTTCTTAAAAAACTTGGTTTGAGACCAGTTACGAAATGCAGTCTAGTTAAGTACTACTTGCCGGCTTTCGGCGTTGCTTCATACACAGCATTGTCCGTCAACGTGATGAATCCAAGTCTCGTCATTAGGTAGGAACATTTAAGAGACATGAGTTGATCTCATTGATTAATAGTATTGAACTTAAATAGTTCGGAAGTCGTTATTGAATTATTACGTAATACTCGTATGCCTAAAATATGCTGCTCCAAATATTTCACTTTAAGGATAGAATATTTTCAATGAGAAACTTTATATTTTTCTCAATCAGTGGTATAAGCTAATATTTTATTCAAAGGAGTCACTATTTTTATTATTTGTGATTAGAATAACTTAGGTATACATATATAAGCATAGTTGAATTATCATTTATCATATTTGACTTTTTAAGTACATTTCACACATCTAATATTTATATCTTTTAGATAGAGTGTATCCATTACATATAATATCATTGTAAAACATAGCATCGTTTAATGTCTTATTATGTACACTTATTACTTTAACCATCTTTTGTACGTACTTGCAGAATATTTCCAAAGAGAGATATCACAAACGTCTTACTCTTTAGTGCACTAGCAGGTACTGGCTCGTATATTTATACCAGAGAGCACATGGTAAAAGCTCATTATCAAAGATTGCTATTTAGGTAAGAATGTCTTAATTGCTTAGATTTATCGATACAAATTGTAATCGCACTCATGATTATATTATACTTAATAGTGGTACTGGAGCATTGTTGCTGACTTTTGGTTCAGTTTTGATGTGGGCTGTTCTACGATCCATTGTACCACCAAGTCCAACTCTGTGCACTTTAATTGGTATTAGTTCAGGATTACTAGTTATCAAAATTGGTTCTGACTATATGAACTTCGTTGATAATTCGGTAGCTAGTGATGAAATCGAGATATCTAAAAAGTAGATGACTATATTCTTTTATTTAATTTCATTATTTTTCTGCACCAAATTTATATTATTCGATGGAAGATAAAATACAATCTATTTGCCATTAGGTAATTAGAATATCATCGAGCTTAATAATACTTGTGGTTTTCTAAATTTTATATGATTGTCTCTATTTGTAGTAAAAATTGTATTGTGAGATTTGTATTTAACAATTGTTTATTTATTATACTTATGTTTTCGTTAATTTAATAACAATACGGTATTGATTGAAACATATTTCTTATATCCAACTATAGGAGATTGCCAATGCATATTAAACTAGGTGAGAAATAATTGTAAAATAGATGAGAATATTCAACATTTTTTTGACCAAATCTCATTATCTTGACAATTAGGTTTTGCCAATTATACTTATATTTTTATTTTTTTTTCTTATATGAGACAAAAAAACAAATATGGTATTGTTTTTACATATTATATCTTGTTGAAGTTATAATGTATAAATATACAACGTATAAATATACAGCGTATAGTATATTTATGCATATACTAATACACAAGCCAATAATATTAAAATAATCTCATTTTATGAATGTCTTTTGCATTTTATCAAATGATAATATTAAGAAATGTGTTTAAACATTCTAATAGCTATAATTTATTAAATAACAAAAAATGCGATTATAGTTTCTTTATGTCATTTTCTAATATATTTAATTAACAAAAAAATGTATGATATAAATGTATCAAATTATAAACATCAATTATACGAAAATAATTCATGTTATTATTAATAATAATCTGTAATAAACATTTCATAAATTTAACGGTAAGACAGTTTGTAATTACTTGCATTAAGTTTTAAAGAAATTCCATTTGAATACTTGTATTTGTAATTTGTGATATCAAAGATTGTATTTAATGTACTCATTCATATTCATTGTACAGTTTTCTGTAGTATTGATACTTAAAAAGCAATAGATCGTTCATAAATATCTGTTAATAATTTGTTATTTTATCAAAGATTTGTACACATAAGTTGAGAGAAAAAACAAAAAGCAAAAATGAATGAAAATATTACACGAAAAATACGAATTTAATTTTGATAAAAATTCTTTTTATTTTATTATTTTTTTTTTTATCCTTTAATATAACAAACAATTTTATATTCTATCTATACAGGGAATATAATTGTGATTTTTTTTGTTTTTATAAATAATCTTAAGTTTTTAATACACATATATATATATAATTAATTAATTTTTAGTAAGAATTAACAATAATTACAAAAAACAATAATATACAAATTTTTTATTCAAATTTTAATTTAACACAATATTTAAATAAAGAAAAATCATGTTAAACATTAATGAATGTCAATATCATTAAATATTATATTATAAAGAACGTTAATTCGATCGATTTCAAATGATAAAAGATAACGAACATTATAGATCCTGGTAAATGATTTGTGGTACATATGTTAATTTGTTATGAAATAGACAAACGTAATTATCTAATATTTTGACTATAAATATTAAATTTAACGAATATGCAATACACATCGCTATGAAACTTGATATGTATTTCGACTAAAATCAGTCAGTTCTATAGGAGTATCTCGTGTAAATAATGTTTCAATAGAAAATAAATGACAATAAATAATCAAAATACAAGGATGAGTGCTGAAGAAGTACGTTAGGAATATAATTGACTCGAATCTTGATCGTTTAAGTTAAGTTTTTTGTATGTCATCAATATAATTACGATATTTCGGTTATTGTTATTAAATATATATATTTAACATTTATTATATAATAGAAAGAAAAAAAAAAGAAAACAAAATTTAATTCAAATTGAATCTTTCTTAATTTTATAAAAACGAGAGGTATATTTGTATAACCTAAATTATAGTGTAAATTAATTTATTACAAAAGGAGCATACCAATTTCGACGTTTGAATAACGCACCATTTTAAGCTTCAAAAAATAGTTTTTTTATATTTTCTTATAAATCTGTTTTACCTTCACAGGTTTAAAAACATTAATTTTTATTTTTTATTTTTATATTTAACCATGAATGTAAAATGGCTCATAAACAAATACACATTTTATTTTAATCGATCAATTAGTCATGATTTTGATCAATTTTCATAATATATAAACAGATAAAAGAAAATCTAACACAATTTAACAATCGATAAATTACCAACCAATTCCACTTGTTAGAAAAGAATATAGAAGTACATAGAAGCTCACAAGTGCCGTTTTTTATCTAGCAGATTCATCTTAATTACAACCGGGACCACCAGTGGGCGATAGTAGGTACTTAACGCGATGACAGTACAATATAATCAAAGAATTTAGTATTTTACCTACTATCGTTTATTGGTGATCCCAATTCCTAACTAAGATGATTTTTTACACGAAAAGTCATCTTACGATGTTCTATATAATTCTATATTCTTCGATCATATCATTATAGTTAAATGATTGAAATATCAATTACTTCACAAAATGTCCACATATTTTGCTCGAATAATTCAAATTTGTGAGACTACGAGTGCATCGGTTCGAAAAACGAGTTATTGACGTAGGATAAAAAAAATTGTCTGTTAATAATCGAACTTTCATTATTGGCAAGAAACTTCTTCGAGCACTTTATTTCTATTCTTCTTCTTTGCATTTTCTTTAATCCTTACGTATGCTATCTTTTTTCATTCTTTTTAATCACATATACATAGGCACACACAACACACACACAACACACACATAAATGTACAAGTAGTATCAAAATATCCTTCGTTAAAATATTCATAAAAGAATCATCATAAAAAGATTTTTCAATGATCTTTCACATGATTCTTAGTAAAACGAAGATTAAATTCTTCTTCTAGAAGTAAAATCAATCAAAGAGATCGGAATCATTTGAAATGTTCTTCGATAAAACGTCTACTTTCACGCGGTATGATTTGTCAACGATAATAAAGTATTTTTCGTATCGTTCAAATGATTTTCATGCGGATGATGAAAATGTTCCAGTTGCGTTTGCGGAATTGTTGAAGACGTCAAATTTTTCGAAAGTACGTCGACAATATTTTGTGTAACTTTTTCAATAGCATCACCCATTATCCTTTGTGTACCCATCTCGTTTTCCATTTTCCCGCCAAATTCGTGAGCGTGATGATCAGCTTCATCTTCATGTTCATCCTCATGTTCATGGTGGGAGGAGTGCGAATGTGAATGAGAATGCGAATGCGAGTGGGCAGCTGCAAAAAAAGAGGAAAAAGAATTTATACTTACGTAATTAATAATCATCAACTGTTATAAATAGATTATTGATCATTTGTATTTTTATGTTCGTTTTTTTTTTTTTCATACTAATTTAAATATTTAGATTAAGTTTTTGCATGATGTTTTGTTACGATTAATATTATTTTGTTATTAATTGTAGATTAATATCGTATAATAATAATAATAATAATAAATATATATTATTTTTAAATTAATTGCAAATAATTAGCATAATACAAAATAAATACATTATATTTATCTCGCTATGTTAATTAATATTTTATTATTAATCAATCGTTAAAATAATATTTAGCGTAATATATTGGAAATATTGGTTTTTCGTCAAATTTATTATCTCAAGATTCATTACTATAATTATTCAAGTCATGTAATCAATCAAACGCGCATTGGTCTTTGTAAGTTACGTCGTAAACGATTATGGCGTTGTAATTAGAATTAATAATATCGAATAGATGCGTGCGAGTAATATAAGACAGTAGTATTAGTTATTCGTTGTTTCTAATGAACATTTTACGATGGATTATCATTATTTCATTTGTAAAATTAGAATATTTGTAATGATCAGCTTATAATTAAGATAAAACATTATAAAAACAATATTACTTATATTCTCTTATAATATAAACTAACGTTATATGTAAATAGTCATATCTAATCGAGTAACATATTATCAATCTCAAGAATTCCATATTTCAACATGCAAAGTAGGCTTTCAGCTATACGTTTAAGTTTCATATTAAAGAAATTTTTGTTGATCGTACAATAACTTCAAAATATATTCAAATAATTAAATTTCAAACAAATTATATTTTCTTTTGGAATAGTAAAATATAATTGGGATTAATTGTAAATAACATATAAAAGCTTTCATCTATAAAACAAGTCACAATGTTGGACAAAATTCAATCCCTGTATCTTGAATTAAAAAAAAGATCTTGCCAAATTTGGTCATTGTCTTATCACTCTCTTTTTTTTTTCATCATTACTGATCAATCTTAAAGATGGTAGATCATTACTATAAAAGATTCTAGGTGGTTGAGAAAGCGGTCGAAAGTCGGTCGAATCGTCCATCGACCTGCGACGTGGGTCATTGTCACGAATAGAGAAAGCTATGAAAATAAGTTAGATCTTTGCGAAAGAGAAAGAAAGAAAGAAAGAAAGAAAGAAAAAGGAACGTTTATGTTAGTTCTAGTAAAACGTATGAATGTAATAAAAATCATCATTTTGTCACCTACGATCATTGCGAACAATCGTGTATGTACGTTCCTGGAAATACCTTATTTTCTTACGAGACCCATTCATTATTTTGTCTCTCCTGCATGCTTTTATGTATTTATCTTTAAACTATTTTTCATGTAATTTTACATATCATATTACATTGTACATTTCATAAGATTATCTATTTTATTCTATTTATAAAAAGTTTTATAACAAATTTATTAGACTTGTAATTAGATTTGTTTCATCATTTACGTAAGATAAATTATATCAAATTATATAATTATGTGCTGTAAACAAAAATTTAGCTCTTTTACTATGAAGATTATTATTGTTTATTCTAAAAGATTTTTTTTTTTTTTTTTTTTAATGCAGATGAAAATATTTTGATAAATGCAGAGTTTTATTAATATTTTTCTAAAAATAATACTGCTTAAGGTATCAATATCGAATTATGTAATAATATAGAATTTTCATTTGAAGTTTAATTCATCTTGTATTTCCGTTTTTATCATATTTTTATATCATATTATTGTCTACTACGACGATATAGGATGTGCTTAACGAAACGGGACTTCGTCAAAGGCAAAAATAATTCAATAAAATATAAATTATAATGTTACGTGAGAAATAGAGACAGACTGTATTTGTTAACAAATTACTGAATTGAAAGCATACATTTCTTACAGAACTTCCTGTGCGACTCGAATTGCTATTACGTATTGTTGTAAATTAGTTACGGCTTTTTCTTTTGTGTTTGTCCATTTTAATGTCAACTTAAGAAGTAAGATCGGTAAAACTGAGTTGAAATTTTCTGCTACGCTCAATGATCATCAATTTTTTGTTAATAATCGGACAACTACCAATAGTATATTATTGTATTAAATGATGTATTATAAGATATTTATCTTATAGACAAAAAACACACAAATTTATAAAATGAATCTTATTAAGTAGTATCTAGTAAAAAGAGTTCTTATAATTAATAAAAAAAAAAAAAAAAACATAGAAAATGAAATTTAAATTTAAAATTTATATAAAAATGATCTGAAAAACTCAATCGTTTGGACTGATTATTGGTTAATTGAGTTTTAATTGTATCTACGTGAGTTATTTACAATATTCACAGTTTCTTTTTTAATATATACATTTAATTTTTTTTTTTTTTAAGTGACAAATAAACTGCTAATTTTATAGGTAAAAATAATGTAATTAATTAGCTAAGGATTAATGTTATTTCAGATTAGCTATGGAAATTAATTGAAACGTAGATTGTAGATCATATATAGTTAGATTGTATATCATATATACTTTGGTTATCTACGTACATATTAGTCTTTAAGTTGGTTGGACAAAAACGTGACCATTATCAAACTAGTTAACTTTAATTGTAATTGGGCCAGTATATATATATATATATTTATGAAGAAGATGAAAGTGTTCTAAAATAAAAGGGAAACGAAAGGAAGATTTTTCGAATCGAACGAAATTGATTATTGGTAGATAAATCATTATCAAGTATAATCGAAAGAGTCATTGGATTAGAATTTGTTAGATTAACAATAAATAAAATAATATATGAATATCATATATTATTAATATAATTTAACTTTTAATGAGAGATTTAGATAAAGAAAAGAATTTTTTTTTTTTTATATATATTTTTCTCAAATAGATCACGTTTGTTTGGAGTGACCGAATTTTGCTTGAGACTTCTTCGAACGTTTAAACTTAACTTGAACAAATCAATAGGGAGGCGAGTTTCTCTACAAGTTAAACCGACACGTCGACTTTAAATGTATCAAGGACGTACCTGCGATAGGTTTGTACCGAGTTGGATCTGTCGAAAAAGGAAACGTGCCAAATACTTTATCCTCAGAGAATGAAGTGATAAAGTACGTGAAACGCTTTTGAGTTTGATTTCAAGTTAATTACTTTTCTGATGATTAATGTTCAAATCAAATGATCATCATTTTAGGAATAGTAATTTATAATGATGTCGAAAAGATATAACTATTGTCAATAATTATTATCAATAATTGAAAGATATTTAGGACTCTTTTTATTTACAAGATTTTCAGATTTTGATGACGAAATTTTGGAAGTCAACGTTAATTAATAGTCTCTCAATCATATATTTATAAATTTCGAGTAGTTTCTAATTTTTTTATTTTCTAATGGGATATCAAAAAAATCCTATATCAAATGTAAAATAATTAAATTTGTAATTATTTGTTCACCAATCTGATATCTGTTTCATTAATTTGATTTGGTTAAAGAAAGAAGAAGATGAAGATGAAGAATAAAAGATTCATGGAATTGATAAATAGATAAAATGATTTTTCCTGAAATACGGAAGAGAGAAATTCAAGGTCTTTTTAGAGATAGACAATCTTCCATAAATTATATCATAAAGAGAAAAAGAGGGAGACAAGCGTTTCGTCATAATAGACGAAAGGTCTTCCGGGAAACACTCACTGGCAATCTGTAGACCCAGCATCAGCATAAAACCAACAATAATCGCGAGTAATTGTAGAAGACCACTCTTTTCGTTAGCTTTTTCTCGTGCTAATACTTCGAAGAATACAACATAGAGTAAAGTTCCAGCTGCCATTCCTTGAAGTATAGTTGGGGTAGGTCCTAGAGTATCGCTGTCGTTTTTGAAATGACTAAGAGCTAGTCCAACTGCGATACCAATTGGTGTTACCATAGAGAAAATTGTTAAGTATCCCAAAGTTGTTCTGGTTGATGCACTGGCAACATAAAGTTCCATACCAACGCAAAATGATATTACCAATTTATGAGTAGCAATAGCAGCAGCAAGATAAACGACAGAACTCAAGGAAGGTTCCAATCCTACGGCAAGTCCTTCGAATATAGCATGAAAGGATAATGCCAGAACGGTTAATAAACCTTGGACGGATGACTTTTTTGTTAAGATCGAGTGTTTATGTTCATGATGTTCTTGGGATGTGTAAGCTGTAGCAGCAGCAGCAACAGCTAATTCTGGATCTGATTGGTGTCTATCATTGTCTCTTTGATCTCCGATTTGTGTTGATAATCCTCCTGTCGATGATGAAAGAACAAATATGGCAGGCAATACTTTATCATTCTTAATACCGCACATATCCTCTAATTGATGTCTCGATCTTCGATCCAATTTTTCACCATCCTCGCTGTCATCTTTCCAAGTAGATCTAGTAGTTGTTGATACAGTCATCGTCGAACCACTTGCTGCAGACGTTGTTACACCAGTTTGATTGTTACATCGACGTACCGATACTGTTCTATAAAGTAGAGCTTCGGAGGACTCAGGTTTCCCAGTTAATGCCGCGTGTACGGCTTCCTCGACTAAATATACCAGGAAGAATCCACCGCAGAACAGTAGTTCCGATAAACTTAGAGTTCCTAATGTTGGTAGTTGACCATTCGATTGATGTGTCTCGACACTTAGTCGTACCTCCGGTGCTAGATGTAGGAATGTCGTGAAAAGAAGAACTCCACCTCCAAAGCAGAGTAACAGCGATGTCAACAGACCCTGAAGAGTATTTGCTTAGTCTCATTTCCTTGGCCTCTCTCTCTCTCTCTCTTCCTTTCTCTCTCTTTACATAAATATAAATGCATGCAAGAAACAAATATCTGAAGAATCTCCGATGAAAATTTACTGAAATTAATTAATCAGATTATTAATCTCTATTATTCCTAATTTCGAGTTTGAATTTAGAGATAAAAGTAAACATCTTTTTTTCATGTTTCAAATTTTACAAATATTTGTTTGTTTTCTTAATTAATTCGAAGTTGTAAAAATCGAATTATGTTTATTCATTAATATTCCTCGGAGGTTCTTCAAAGAACAAAACGAAGAGAAAGAGAGAGAGGTGAAGGGAAGGAGAGTTACAAAAGCGTACTTGCGAATTCGCTGCGTTATCGACGAACGAGGAGGATGTTTGCGATGCCGAGGTTGACGTCGAAGTTGAGTTACTCGAATTAATGGAGATGCCGTGACATCGTTTCTGACGATGAAATTTCGTTCTACATCGTCCAACTATCAGAGGTAGCATACCCAATATAAGTGATCCAAAACCAAGACCGATCATGGCACCAATTTTTGCCATCAAAAGAATCGAAGACGTCGTATTCGTACTTTGTTCTTCCATCTTTATTTATTTATTTTTATTATCCTTCATGCGATAATAAATAGAACTCGAGGAACTGTATTTTTTCAGTACGTCTATTAACTCTTGATTGTATTTTTTTTATATCAATATCTTGTTCACTTTTCATGCTATAATATATTATTAATTGATGAAAATATTCATAACTAGCACGTATAGTCGAAGATAAACTCGCTTAAATTCTTATTAAAACTTTGGTACAAGTTGCACTTCCAAAATGACACCTCTTGCTTCCTTTTTTCTCGGATATTATTTCACAAATGTTAGTGTATATACTTACTTATTGTGTCGAACTGTATACGATCGTAAATACAATCGAGAGTATTCCGCGAACTACACCGGCTACCCACTTTCACCCAAAGCACTGGTGCTAAACCACCGACGTTGATATTAACTGGACCGTAATAGTAGAAGTAATAGTAGTAGTAATAATAGTCGTATACAATGATGATCATTGGTCCAACGTGTCTCGTTCTTTCCAATCGAAATTAATACAAATAATTCCTTATTTATTGTTCTCACCACCATCGCCAATTATTTGTTTTTTTTTATATCGGGACAATGTTTAAGATTTAAGTTCAATGATAACCATATGTGATATACGAATATATACACACGAGAACTTTTACATTAGCTGAGGAATAACTTCTTCGTTCTTCTTCTTCTTCTTCTTATTATTATTATTATTATTAATATTATTATTCTTTAAATAATTTAGATGAATAATTATTAGATTTATTGGGAGTACACAAAGAAGAAAAATGAAGAAATAAAGAAAGATATGTGTAATCGTTCCACGCGGCACGGCGTCGAACCGGACACTCAGGGTCTGGATAGGGACGTCGTTGGTCATTCGTATCCCCTCGCATCTTACATAGTCCCTCCGAACCGTTTCCTGCTCCCCTCCCTTTCTTCTCTCCCCGCTCTCTACTCTAAAACCCCCACCAGGTTCTCACTCTTTCCGCCACCTTCTCACCATCTCTCTTTCTCATTCTCTTTCGAGTTCCCGATGCATTTGTATTACTAATGTAAGTACACTATGTAAGTATGTAAAAGTATATATTTATAATATATATAAACACCTGTATTCCCTCTCTTCTCCTCTTTTCTCAGTTATTCATGTATACAGGTAGTATCAATAATTATTTGTCTGATTAATTGTATTTCTCACTGTATCGTTTTTTCATCAAATTATTCGTATCAAATGTTTAATACGTTATGTAAACAATTTTTTATGTAATAATTATTAATTCAAATTGTATAATCAACTAATTGTTTGAATACACGTACTCGTACGAAATATCTTCAAACTATTCTAAGTTATGTTTCTTAAATGCTTTATTTTATTTTATATATAGATATACTTATTATACATACGTAAACAATTAATTAGAACAACTTACTATCGTATAGACAAATTTGATAAAGAATTATGAAATGTTGTTACATGTTCTGCTAGTTAAAATAATCTTTTTTTTTTTTTTGTAAATATATATTTTGCACTATTTCAGTATTCATAAAACTAATTTATGTAATCTTTTCGTTTGTAAATTGTTTCAACTATTTTCTTCAAAGATTACGCAAGTCTTTTCTTAATCTCTTGGATAGTACATTAAATGTGTAATCCAAATGCAGTAAGTGTATTTAAACTTTTCGTTTGTAATTTATATAATTTTTTAGTGGTAAAATTCAAAAAAATATATCGTTCGATTAATAGAATCATATGTTATCAAAATTCTGTACTGTTATCATTCAACGACTTCAATCAATAATGTAAAATATCGATTATTTCAGAATGTTTAATTTAGCGACTTTATATAGTTCATGTTTACTATCATTGTATCTTTTTCTTATACGTACATTCATTGATATGAATGTAAAGTATGTATGCGTTTCACGTGGAATTTAATTTGATTGGATATTTCAAACGTTTGAATTTAAAAAGCAGCACTTGTTTTGTTTCCATAAGATTAATTGGAATTCATTAAGTTTTTGTATCTTCGTGTTCGAATTTTACAAATTTTTTTGCTGCATAAACAAAGACGAGAGTTTCCATTTTCTTTCTCTCTTATTTTTGCAGTGTTAATTTACGATTACTGTTACTCATGATACGAAGTTGATGTTCTATTGTTTTCTACGTATGATACGTTATCACATAGTGTTTGCTAGACACAAACCGATGAATAATCTCTTTCGTGTTGTTGTTAAAGTTTCTATTGATTCTTTGAATCTCATACCTTCCTTATGTTACTTCGTAAATATTTCTTACATTAGTAAATCTATATGAATTGTTTGAACTCTCACATTTGCTAATTTTGAATAATAAAAATTAAAGTAATTTAAAATAAATTAAATTATATTTTATAGTAATCAAGGGGTGTCCTAAAACATATACCAAATTTATTTTTTTTGATACGTATTTAGAGTTGCAGCAATAATGAGTAAATGTGTTAGATGTTTAATGACTTGAGTTAGAAATTATTTGTGGAAGGTTTAATACATTTTTTTTAACAATATTAATTAATTATTTATATATTTGAAACGAATCTTAATATTGCCTAATTTTATTACTAATCCAATTTGTATTTTATATTTTATTCTTAGTCTTTCCGTAAAACGAGTTTTGGGACACCCTGTATTTTGCAATAAGTGGTGTGTTATAATCTTTAGAAGAAATATTGCTTCGTTATATTTACCTCTTTCTCTATCTCGAACTTTCTTTAATTTCAATTTAAAAGGTCACGAACGGGATTTTCGCGAGAGCTAGTACGTGCATGTATAATACGCCCGCGTGTATATATATATAATTATACAGATAGATATAAACACACACGCACACACAAACAGATACGTATGTAAGTTGCATGTAAATCGGTCGAACTGACGGACGGGTGAAGGTCGTTTCATAGTGAAAGGCACAACGTCGGCTTCATTCGTTAATACAATACCATGGAAACACCATGGCAAATCAACGATGCGGAAAAAAGGTACGGGATTATCATCGTTGTTTAACGTGTTCGTTAGCTTCCTATAACAACATTAATTTCCGGAGTGTTTTTGCTATTGCAGTTGTTTCAGTAACCCCTTTCGATTAATTGGCGAATGGAATCCTTTTGTTTCGAATTTTCTTTTATTGTCAGCCATATTCGTGTGATTCTCTGACTCATCGACTCTATCTTTAATGTTTATTTTCATAATTATACTGAAAGTTATCACATTTAGCACCGATATTTTGGGTTAATCTGTTTTAAGGTATAACGAGAATATTTTGCAATTGATCAATGTGATTGCGTTTGAAACTGATTTCGATTTGATATAAAATGGTAATGGAATGGAGATAGAACAAATTTAATAAATTATTCGACGAATTAGTTTATTGGAAAGTATAGAGTCAGTTAAAAGTTTAGAAATGATTTAAAAATGATAAATTTTTTGGTAATTTTTAGGCTAACTTGTTTCAGATTGTAAAAATATAAGTCTAACAAGAAATTGAAAAAGTATTGATTGATTATTTAAAATTAATGAAAAATATTAGTGATCTATTTGAAACGTTTAATTAATTCTACATTCATTTATATTTTTAATTTATCTAATGAATCTCATTCGTTCGTAATTTTAGAACTTTCTAGTTGATGGTTTTGGAACAATTGAAATTGTAAGTAGAATTGTAAAGAAAATATTTATCTTAAATCACGTCAATGAGATAAATGGTCAGAGTTGTTTCGTACGTCTAACGTTTGCGTCAGAGTTTTAGTTAAAATTATTTCTGCATATCGTGCGTCAAGTTTCATGTGTCGTTGCACGAATGCATGTCCACTGTACATATTTGTTATCATTATTTTATTTTAGATGTCTTTTTATAATGAAACATAAACGTATTGTGTGTACGATTTACGTGTATTAGTTTTCAATTTTACCTTACGTCACTCCTCTCACAAACAAAAATTTCAAATTTTCAAGACATTGCAATATAACAGTAACAACAAAGAGAATAAAATGTTTGTATTGGTAACTTTTCGTGGGATGTTTAATACAGGAAGCCGCCTATGTATTCGTCAAGAAGGCAAATTCGAGAAGTCTGTGTTCGTTAAAACGCGAACGAATATTGGCGGTTGGCGACCCACGTTCACTTTCATCGGAGATAATAGCGGAAGGAGTTGAGTGTTCCCGTAAATTCAACGAAGCGACCATTTTCTTTTTATGTCTCTAACATCAATACAGTGAGTATAAAAATAATACTTCAGTTGTTTTTACTAGTATCCTTATTTTACATTTATAATTAACGCTATCGATTAAAATTATTTGATGAAGTAGAACAATTATAAAATATTTAGAAATAAATAAATAAGATAAATTATCAGCCGTATATTTTTTCATGATAAAATGAACAAACGTGCATCGATTTTATTAGAAACAATTTACGACAAGATGGATAAGAAATTTATAAAATGATTAGAAAATATTTCAATTTTATTCAAGCTTCATTGAAATAGTCATCTCACAAGAGAAATATTGGGGACCTTTTAGTCAACTATCTACTGATAAAATCATTTTCACGAGTAATTTATATTATATTACAATTTATAAAAATGAACAAATCCGATCTTATCATTTATTTTATAATATAAATAATTATAGTATAAATTAAAGTATGAAATCACATTTGTTATTTTTTGATTCATAATTAATTCACTTTTGTAATTATTAGCATATTCACATGACGTTTGTGAAAACAAGCGTTAAGATATATTTAATATTAATTTAATAAGAGTATATACACCATAGTTAAAAAATAAATAAATATATATATATATATATAGATAAATTACTAGTTTACTTTCATATCAGTTATAATTAGATACTAAAGTAAAAAATATTGTTGAACTTTTGATCAGACTTCAAGTCAATAATCTCGTAAGACTTTATATAAGATGCTAAACGAATGAATCAAATCAGCTGATGTAAATCAGCAGGAAGAACAATTGATGATTCTTCTTTCATTCACTTAACATTCAATGAGAATAAGATCATGAAGAAGAAGATAGCAGGATTCTTTTTAAACTTTTAAAACGACCATACCCAATATTGTGTTCAAGTAAATATGTTTTACATATATATATATATTATCGTCAAAGTGTATAATTAAGTAGTTAATTTACGAAATCAACGTAAGTACAGTATTTAAATACTCATTCAATTACTTTCAAATTGATATCGAATTTCAAAAAATCGATAATCGGTCATAATCGGATTACACATGCAATCGAGTATGTAAAAATATTCATGCCTTAGGATCAAACATGAGTAATGATCTTGAAATGTAAATTCATATGACTCAAAGAAATAATATTTATACAAACATGCATTTTCTTTAGAAATATCCCTATCGAGCGTTGGCCTCGATCGTGCTGACTAGTTTGACGTAAGTGTGAACGTAAGTAATATATATTGTGTCTATGCGTGTGCACATGAGTGTTCAATAGCAAAAATTTATTTTCTCTGATTGATAAGTGACTCTTGACCAGCAATTAATTACATACTGACTCTTGATAATAGATATTGCAAAATAATAATTAAAAAAAAAAGGAACTCGCGATTAAATGTTTGCTTTACATTCACGTGACGATCATGAGTTAATTAATTAATAGTTGAGTTTTAATTAAAACAGGAGTTTTTTTTAGTTATAATTAATATATATTAATATAAAAAAATAAATAAAAATAAATAAATAATAATAATAATAATATTATTATTATTATTATTATTATTATTCGATATATACGTGGGTGGGTTGAAAAGTCTTGAGACTCGACAAATCAAACTTTTATTAAAAAAAAAAAAAAAAAAATAAAAGTTAGTTTGACCGAAAAAATATTATTTCTATGTTTTACTCATGACTTTTCAATCTATCCTCATGTATATATTGAAATTTAAATTTAATTTCATTTTTAGAGAAAGAAAAAACTTAATTAATTTAATACTAACTAAATTGAATGCAAAATTAATTATATGTGTCATGGTTTCTAATCAGACTAACCATTAAATGTTTTGCTTCGTATGGCGTTTAGGTCGTTAGAATGTTTTATAGTTATAAACCGTGAATAAAAAGTTTTATGTCTTATCGTGTGTTTTAAAATAATAGGTATAATATGTAAGTTTAGAAAAAAGTATCATGTACTTACTTAACATTTGAAGCCCAAACATTACGAGAAAGCCAATGAGGATTGATAAATATTGACGAAGTCCCGTACGATGTTCTTGTAAAATTTCGAAGAAAACAACGTAGAGAAGCGTCCCAGATGCAAGACCCTGTTAAATTAATTGAAAAGATATTTATATAATATTAATACTATTTCGAAATGAGAATTTTTCATAAGTATTAATTTAAAAAACTATTAATAACACAACAATAATATCATTATTATACACACAAATATAGACAAGGGTAAAATTTGTCAGGTGAGACGACAATTGTTTAAACGATTTTAAAAATAATTTACTATTTTTCAATACTTTTTTTAGAATAATTTTTGTTTAAATAATAAAACTACAAACTTAGATTGTAACTTCGAGTTTAATAACAAGTTTACCAAGTGGTCATAGATACAGATCATTGATTTTTTAAAGTTACTCATTGCTAGAAAATGATTTATCTGATTAGAGATTTTTATGTTCAATCTGTACAATGTAACTTTCAAACGTGTAATTATAGATTAGTACTAACCTGTAAAATTACAGCAAGAGGTCCACTAGCAGCTGCACTTTCTCCACCAACGAGTATCATTCCTATTCCAATGCCTAAGGGCGAGACTATAGCGAATGTGCAAACATAAATTATCGATAAGTAACGTCGTGTTTTAGCTGCAGTTAATTCAACACCGATGCAAAATGCTATGACAAATTTGTGCGCTGCTACTGCAGCAAACATGTACCTGCAAAAGACAATAACAAAAATTAATATTTAAATACATGTTTATCTACGTAGAGAGATACTGGAGGATGGGTTGAAAAGTCTTGATCCTGTTCTTTTGTAATTGTTCCAAAATTATTCCATGTCAAAATGAAAACTTTTCATCAATAAATAAATAAATCAATCAACCCACCACCCATATTTATATTATTTCGTGAAATGTTGTTTTCATAGAAAGTAAGTTTGTTCAAATGTTGATATCTTAAAAATTAGGTTCATAATTCAATCGTTGTTATTAATTATACATTTTAGAGTTCGTTAGATTGTAGTATTATGTAATATTAATTTCTTTTTTTTTTTTTTTATAGAATATGCACTTGTAATATATTTTGATATTTTAAGTATTACATCACTTTTAATTACGATTTTAACGTATGTGTTAATTAAGAATAAAATTGTTAGGATTTGGTAACATGTATTATCATTAATTACGAGTTAAAAATCATCGAAGCATGACTATATGTAGTCATGATTTACAAAATTTATTCTTTGATCATACTTACCACACATAGCTTGCACTACTTTCTAAACCAATGGCCAGACCTTCAAATAATTCATGCACAGATAAACCAAGTACTATCAGTAATCCACGAAGTGAACTTATCACAAAGTCATCCTCTATGTCCATTATCTCAGGTATATGATGAGAATGACCATGACCATTTCTACATAATAGAAGTAATCAATTGTATTTGTTATTTGTATTTTCTTTTTTTTTTGTAGTTTATTGGACAAAGTTGTAAATTATTTATAGAATTATTATGTGAAAATAAACAATTGTAATTATATATATATATAGTACTATAGATAGTACTATAGATAGTACTAGATATAGTAGTATATATATAGTAAGTGAGAAAAAAGGAGAAACTTACGTATGTGAATGGCCGTTCGTGACTGTTTGACCATCTTCTACGAGTTCGTTTGTGCTACGATTCACGTCCGTTTTAGTATTTTGTTCTTTTTTCGATTTTCGATTTCTTAAATGTGTATGAACAGATTCTTCGACCAGGTACATAATGAAAAATCTATGAAGTATTTAAATATTAGTATTTTTGTTAACTATCATATTCAAGTTAAAAATGTTATAACATTTAATAAAATATTAAATAAAGAATGAATCCATAATTTCTAATTGGGTATACAATTTTTAAATAATTTTACAAATCAATTATTTTTAATATGAAACATTTTAATTTGATTTGTATTTGTATAAATAGAACAAATATTGGTCTCGAAAATAATCATTAATTTTAAAAAGTCATCTAATTTTTTTTTTTTTTTTTTTTATGTATTGATATATGTTTGCATTTCTTGTAAAATCAATTTTAGAATTATATTTTTCATCATTCGAACAAATTGAAATATATAATTTGTTATTATTAGCTTCATTTAAGATAATTTATGTACATAGAACTAGTCATAAATTACTTTGACAGATCGTAACATACCCACAACACGTTAACATCTCAGCCAATGAGAATGTAAGGTTTGGTAATTTTTTCGTTGATATGAGATTTTCTACACCTTCAGAGACTTCCGGTATCATATGAAGAAACGTTGTACAGAAAAGTATACCTCCACCAAAACCAAGAAGTAAACCCACCACTTGCGTTGACCTATGAACATTGTAAATTAAATGAATAATTATTTTCAAAAATCATTGATATTTTTTGTGAACATTTAAAAAATAAATTGAGAAAACACAATTTTGATGTTTTAATTATAATTAGTAAAAATTATGTTTTTTTTTTTTTTTTTTTCATTTTTTGTTTGTTGATGATTTTACATCGCTTTGGTAATAAACAGTCAATTTAATACAAGATGGGTCACAAGTTTTTAGGTGGTTTTAAAAATCAATTATTATTTTTCCAAATTTTTAAAATAAATTTCTTCTTTTATCAGATTCTACAAATAGTTTTTGAGACTTTCGATCTATTTATAAAGTGTCATTTAAGCCTATATATGGGCACCGTCGTGAATATTTGAATAACTATTATTATTTTTAAATTATAGTTATAAATAGCAAAAAATAAACTAATAAATAAAATTCTAAAAATTCTAAAATGTGTTAATAAATTTTTTGCAGATTTTTTTTTTAATTATAAATAACAATAATATTGAACAACTCAACTCGCGTGGTGTTAGTAAAATCAGGGAATTAACAAATGAAAACCTTAATTGTGTAATAACAGATAAATTAGGATATATTTATTCGATAATTGATTACGTGTCTTTAACTTTGCATTG